TGCCTCCCCAGGATACCCTCCAAGACTCGTAAGTAGGTCCAGCCTCGGCTTCTATGGAGTTACTGCTTTGTGCTGGGTCCCAGTGTACGTGAAACCTTGTGTGTGCCCTCCAAGAGTGGAGTCTGTCTTTCCCCCAGTCCTGTGGGCCTCCTACACTCAAGTCCTGCTGGGCTTCAAAGCTAATAAATGCCTTGGGAATTCCTCCTCCTGATGCCAGACCCTTAGGCTGGGGAGCCTGATGTGGGGCTCAGGACTCTCTTGTGGGAGAATCTCTGTGATATGATTATTTTCCAGTTTGTGGGTCGCCCATCCGGCAGGCATGGGATTTGATTATGTCATGAAAGTGCCCCTCCTGCTGTCTTGTTGTGGCTTCTAAAAGCATTTTAATTTGAACAGATTTCTTTGTGTAAGGCTTTATTGGGTGTTCTGGGGAATGGATAGATTTCCTTCCTACAAATTACTCAGTGTCTAGTGGAGGAAGATGCAGAGTGACAAAAACAAATGCCGAGAGGGTAGAGTTAAGGCAGACTGTGAGGAGTGTGCAGAAAGTTCTCAGGTCCAGCAGAAGTGATACTTTATATTCCTCCTAGAAGATCTGAGGGAGCTTTGCTTCTTAATTAGAAGTGATGTTTTCGCTGGAGCTTGACAGATTGGTAGGCTTTGAGGTGGGAAGAGAGGAGAAGAGTGAGGTGTGGAATGGCTGGGGAAAAGCCTGGGCAGAAGCACAGAGCTGGCAGCATGCAGGGTGTATTCTGGGATTGGAACCTTAATCTAAAAGGATTTTAATGCAGTGGGGAAAAAATTACAGAGTAGACTGGGCTTGGGTTGTGGAGGGCTTTAAATACGATGGCCGTTCTGTATATAATGGGAAACTGCCAAGGTTTCTGAACAGGCAGTGCCCGAATTCAGTCTAGTGTAGTATGCATGATGGAGAGGTATGGATTTAAGGAGGGGTGGTTAGATGAGAGGTTATTGGAATCATGGAATCTGTTCGCTTTCCATTTGTTCTGCTACTTTTGTCTAAGCCCCTCTGTCTCACACCCACGTTATTGCAGTAGTCTGTGAAGTAGTCTTTATTTCCACTTTGCCCCCACAAAGCCGTTCCTTCAGTAGTCAAAGGGATCTTTTTTAGACCATAAATTAAATGTTACACTGCTGCTTAAAATCTGTCATCGTCTCAGTGCACTTGGACTAACATCTGAATCCCTCCCCATAGTGTACAAGGAAACATTCTGCAGGATGTGTCATCTTCCTGCCTCTCACATTCAAGCCGACTTGCTCTCTCACACCCTGGCACTGGCGGAGTATCTTCCAAGTCACTTGCTTCCCTTGACTGTTGCCATTAGCTGTTTCACCCTTTTGCTCCTGGCTTAGGTGCCACCTCAGAGAGCCCTCTTTGACCACCCCATTCTAATTCCACACTGCCCTGTATTTACTTCATGACACTTGCCCACCTGTGATTATTTTGTCTGTCTTGTCTGACCTGTACCTTAATATCATGAGCTCTGTGAGGGCAGAACTGTGTCTTTTGGGTTTACTGCTTTACCCACTTTGCCTGGCGTGTGCAGAAAACCATTTGATGAATGGATAAGGAGCACAGGCAACCTTCTGGTGATAGAAATAAAATATATGGTGATTGTGGCAGTTACATACAGCGTTAGTCCAGAAGGCACTGGGGAATGGGGACTGGAGCATGAAAGAGGAGGCAGGGGCTAAAAGTGCAGATTTGGAATTGATCTATTTTGAGCTAATGATTGAGGAGGTGGGAGTGGACTGAGATAGGAGGTGTGTTTGAGAGAAGGTCCAGGGTAACACTTTTGGGGAGAATGAACACTTAGGAAATTAAAAGATGAAAAGGCAGGAAAAAGCCAAGAGAAGCAGCCCATAATTGAAAAGACCCAGGAGACTATTGTCAAGGAAGCTGAGGGGTGGTAAAGAGCTTTGAGTGCTGCGCAAGGACTGGGGGGTAAGGGGCAGCAGTGCAGGGTTAGAGGTTGCTGATGAGTTTGAGAGATTTGTTTTGGTCAGTCTGCTTGGGGGACCAGATTATGGTGGGTTGTGGTGTGATTGGAGGAAGAGGAAGTGGGGGAAGTAAGTTTGGGTTACTACTCGTAGAAATTCTGTGGCAAAGTCAGAGGGTGATGGGGCAGTTGAATTGCTTGATAGGGTAGGATGTTAGAGGCATAAGAAGAAGAGCCAGTGCAGGGCACTCGGTCATAGATATGTGGGTGTGCAAGTCTGGAAGCAGCTATTACTGTTTAGGTACAGAAGCATTTGAGAGGTTCAGAAGCTTGTGGTTCGCAGGCTTTCTGACTGGTGAGTGAGAATGGCGTCGTGCAGTGCCGCTCAGACTGAGGTAAAGGGCCCGTTTAAAAATGTTTAACCTCCACCATCGTGGAATGATACAATTTCCTAATGTAATACAAAACATGAACTGTTAGAAAAATAATCATACTCTCAGATATTGTGGCAATATCAAATTACTATAAAAGTTTCTGAATGCTTTTAATTTCTGCCTCTCATTGTAGGATGGTAACGAACAGTTTGTGGATGCTCCCAGGCTGTGGTCTCTCTTTCAGTAGCACTAATGTAGTAGGTGAGGGAGCAGGAGATCCAGGTATTTTTCTTGAGTGGCCCATCTGAGTTCTTAGATGGGCTAGTGAGTTCCAGGTTAAGATCACCCAGTAGGAGTCGCATGCTAACACTAGCAAAAAGTAGAGACTCTACTTTTATAAACTCCAAGTGGAGTAAACAAGTCAGTAGCCTTGAATAAGATGTTGGCCCCTTTCCCTTCTAATACTTAAAATTACTTGAAGTAAAGGAAAACTGTTTAAACACATAACAGTTAAACTATGAGGATTACTACCTTAAATAGGAGTACTGTTAAAATACGAGAACTTTTACCAATCAGTTCTAAAGCCAGGAAGTAGTTAAAGCACACATTCTGAGTTTTATGAAGAATTCAGAGCAATATGAGAAAGTGATAACGATAGATAATGAATGCTATCTCCCGTTACGACATTACGTTGAGTGAAAAGTCTGGAATCGCGTTTTGCTCTGATGATGGCTGGGTAGAAGTATTGCATGTGTATTTTATTGGTCAGGAAACTTAGAGTCATAAGTGATAGAAATGCAGCTCAAGCCAGCTTCAGCACAAAGTGGGCATTTCTTGGTTTATGAGGAAGCAGGGGACTGGCGGGGTAAAACACATTCAGTGAAACTACTGCCAGGTTACCATCAGAACTCACTCTCAGGATGGGAACTGGCTAATTGTGGAGGTGGGGGAGAGAAACCCTTCAGTGTGAGAAAGCTTGTGACCAAGCCTGAGGCCAGAAAAGGTAAAATAACAGCAGTGGTTTGAAGCCAGGCTACCCGTGCTTAACCGTTGTACAACTCCTTCCTCTGCCCGACAGAGCGTACTGACAGTGTTTCTAAAGCAGGGATGCCATCATTTAAATTTGACATTTTAGTACAGATCTTTTGCTCACAGATTTCAAAAGATTTAAATTGAAAAATTGTCTTCATGCTCACTACCATTCAGCTGCTATTTATAGTTTGTTACAGTATCTCACTCTTTTTCAAAAGGGACTATTTTCGTTCATTCTCCCTGCTTTGGGCAATATGAAAACAAAATGAATTGTCTGTTATGAAAATTAATAGCACCAAAGAGTGCAATGTCTTGTCTTCCGTGACTCTGTGTTGTAATTAGAGATTAAACATTTATATTTAGTCTTATTTGGACATACTGTCCATTTCTTTAGGATATAAATATTTAACTCGGGGGGTGGGAAAAGGACTGCACAGTCCTAGTACGGTTTAATATTTAACTCCTTTAAACTGAAACATGGGCTGTTAGGTCACAGAAATAATTTGACATTGTGAATTTTTGTCTTGCCGTTTTAGCCATGGACTTGACCTGGACTAAGTTTCTGGAGAATTGTTGTCATGTGAGAATGTGTAATGTATCCTTACTTCATGGACGAAGTACACACACCTTGACTATGCCTAAAACACGTTTAATACACAAAGTTCAAATTAAAAAAAGCACAAAATTGTTTAAATTTTTTCAATTCTGGGTCTGAAGAAGCCCAGGCTTTATTCTTATTTGCTACAACAGATTTCCTTCAAATAATGCATTGGCAAGGTGACAGGTGAGTGACCCCATGTCTGGTTGGGGAATATATCGCTGAACTTATTTTCATCTTAAAATGTGGATGTAAATTGGCGTCCAAGTGGTTTGGCATTGATGACAAAAATACAGCAATTACAGTTGTTCTTTATATGGCAATTTTTAACTGGGTGTCTTATGATCTGTTTACTATCTCAGGTATCTCAAGTCCAAACAAATTTCATTTTTGTAGTAAAAAGTCTTTATTTCCAAAATGATTGGTTAGCCGGAGAAATTATAAACCACCTAACACAAGACTTTGGTAAGAAAGAGTTGATGTTTCTTAAAAATTCCCCCTTGCAAACAAAAAAAGAGTTAACACTTATGTAACAAGAAACATGTTATCCATTCTCAGCCATTAACCAGGTGCCTGGTTTTAAGTCTCCAAAATTTGGATTAAAAATGGGACCAAATAGGAACATGCGATACTAGGGTGGCTTGTCCTTAGAGTTACTTAGGAATATACATTATATGGAACTTTGATGATTTTCATGGGTTGAGAGGAAGGATGCGTGTGGGTAGCTAAGAGTAGTGTTGCAAAAGCGAGCAGATTCTGTATCAGGACTTTTTTTTGTCCAAGTAGAAATTAAACTTCTTATTTGTTTAAATTTTGTGCTGCTTTGTGGGAGGAGAAAGCAGTTCACTTAAGGATTTAAAAAATAACGTTGGAAACAACTCAAACCTCCAGAGAGCTCAGGAATTGGTAATAGTGGTCCCTCCAGAATGAGGGTGCAAAAGGCATATCCTTTGCTGACTCTGATTGAAATGGAAACAATTGTTAAAAAGACCCAACCTTCTGAACACTGAATTAGTTTAAAACTAAAACACAAAAGACAGACCCAATGAGTTTTTTATTGAACAGTCTCTCTTGTGTTAAAGAAAATAGTACAGATTCAAGGCTATAGCATATATATATGTTGTGTTTGGAATATCCTGATGTGTTTAATGCAGAGTGTATTCAAAGCAATGTATGCATCTCATCCATGGTACATATTTGGATTAAGCACGATAAAGAAGGCCTGCAACAGAAATGAAACGGTAATTTTAACAATGAATGAGTAACAACTGCTGATGGACGCAACTCGGTAAAATGACCTTTTACACTAATCCTTGATAGTCAGTCTCCCTGAATTTGGTGTGCTTATGAGTGCTCGGAAGGGGATGGAAAACCATGATCTTTCTCTATGGTTGTGTCAGAGGACCAGACCCCTGGTGTGGAGGGCTGACATAGGTTTGACTTCCCACCAGATTTTACGGCCAAGCTTGATTCTGCAACATTCCTTTCTCCCTAGATTTGTCGTCTTTCTTGGCCTCTGAAACACTTTTTCTAAGAAACCCTCTCAAGTACAGAGATAGTATTTCCGTTGAAGGACTGGCTTGGTGGGCTGCAGACAGATTTAACAAAATGTTTGCATAACTGAAAAAATGTTTTCTTGTTAGAAACTGGTTTGAGAACTTAAAAGTCTGTGTCGGAAGATTTTAAAAACTCAGGTTTGGGACTGCTATAGAGGCCAGTTTTGCTGCCTTGGCCTTGGTTCTAGTCAGGATCTAACATCAGAAGGTTCGTAAGGCTGGCTTCCTAAGAGAATTGTGTCCAAAAAAACCCCAAAAAGAAGGGAAAAATGATTTCTAGACTTAGTACCTTTTACCTCAGGTGTAAGAACTGGTTACCTTATGTTCAAATAAAGTAGCCATCATTTCTTTCCTCTGGGGCATCAAGAACCAATATTAGGGGTTGAGATACATACGCATTTCTCGGTGAAAGAAGAAAAGCCACCCACCATCAGGGCTTCTCTTCATGTCTGCCAGCTGTTTTCCCCAAGAACTGTTGATGACTGAGGAGACTCAACAACGGGCCCTAAAGTTCCACTAAATGAGAAGAGACGAGCAAACAATAGTTTCCTGCAAGAGGGAGCAGGCCAGACGAGAATGAGGGGAATCTGCACTCCACCTGACGGGGACTGTCTCCCCCATGCTGCGCCCCGGCACCAGGCACAGAGTCATCTGCAGACAGTTGCCTCTCCGTGTGCAGGAGGCCGGGGTCTTTTTCCTGCCACCCAGGTGGGTGCTCCAGAGGGACACGTTTCCATTCAGTACAGGTGGCTGACACTACTCGTGCTGGCTGAGGGCTGGCTGAGGATGAGGGAGCACCCCCTCAGTCTGTGCCCACCAAGAAGTGTACAGAAGGATGTCCCTGGCATCCACAAGACTACTGGGCAGACCACACTGCAGAAATGAAAACTAGTGTACACGATTTAAATTGCCTTAAACAAACAAGCAAACAAACAATCCAGCCATTGGTGACTCTGAGGGGTCTAGAGTGCAGCCCTGGGAAACGTGTACCCTTGTTAACACGGGTGGACATGGCATGCTCTGATCTCCTTCTTGTCTTTGCAGCTGGTAAACTGGGAGCTTCTGAACCTTTTCTTTACAGTCATGTAGCGTTCCTGGATCCCGCCTCCACACAGTTTGGTGCATTCTGACCAGGCTGTCCACGGGCGCATCTTGCAGCCTGAAAGCATGAGAAGACCTGGTTAGGCCAGCAGACACGAGGAAAGAACAAGGAAGCTGAACTCTAGTAAACAGCTGTCAAACTTAGTTGGTTGTCTGGGCTTTTCTGCTCTTGTATGTAACGATTTGTTGAATTAAATAATGGCTAGAGTCCTTATTAGGGACTGTTAGCTTATACGTGACAGACTGCAGAAATTGGCCATAAATACTTTGCAGCTCTTCCCCATCGAGGGGCAGAGTCTGCTTCTCCACCTCTTGAATCTGGGCTTGGCTCTATGACTTGCTTTTGGCCAATTGGACATGAGCAAACATGGCTTGAGAAAAGTTGTCGGGAACCTTTCCACCACTGTGCAAGCAAGCCTGGCTATCTGTTGGAGAGACCAAGTGGAGAGAGGCTCCAGAAACACAGGTGAGGCCAATCTAGACCTTCCAGCCCCAGCTGAGCCACCACCTGACAGTAGTGACTTGTTTGTTTTGGGGTGGCTTGTTAATGCTGCAGCCACTCAAGGAGCAGTTAACCACTCTCTCTTATGCTTTGCACCCCCAGGTACTTAGCCTCTCAAGTACTAAGTTAACTCAGGTACAAGTGATTATTTTTCCTGTGTAAATAGACATGACTTTCTCAAAGAAAACTTCCCTGACCCCAAGGTTAGATCTTTAAAAAAAGAAAAAACAGTGCTTCCATAGCACTCTATACATTACTCCATTGTAGATCCAATTAATTACATTTATGATTATCCAGTCAATACTACGCTGAGCTTTATGTCATAGTGCCTGCCTGGAACATAGTTGGGCATGATGTTTGTTGACTGGCCAACTGACTGCCATGTGCAATAGACAACATTTTTTTTTGCGGTACGCGGGCCTCTCACTGTTGTGGCCTCTCCCGTTGCGGAGCACAGGCTCCGGACGCGCAGGCTCAGCGGCCATGGCTCACGGGCCCAGACGCTCCGCGGCATGTGGGATCCTCCCTGATCGGGGCACGAACCCGTGTCCCCCGCATCGGCAGGAGGACTCTCAACCACTGCGCCACCAGGGAAGCCCTAGACAACATTTTGATATGGGAACAGCTCCCTAGTGGAAAAATAGTGACCTTCAGGTAGCTCCGCATATCTGCACTTCTCTAGTCCTAGATGGAGCTGTAATGTCTTAAGGAAGAGAAGAGAGAAGAAAAAAAAAAGGGGTAGTTTGAGCTGCACCTTTAAAAATAGAAACCCATTAACCTTCACTTATATGCGGCACCTTCCTTACCCACTCCAGGGAATCCAAAGACCATCAATTGGCCTGGACCCAAGACTGACCGCGGATCTTCCCAACTACCATTTCACTCTTGGCTTGGATCAGCTTATTCAGCAGTGAAGCTCTAGGTGGGATCTTTTTTTTTTTTTTTTTTTAAGTCCTGGAACTCCTTCAGTTATGCGGGAGGAGGGGGACACACAATCTCTCTCCTGGGCTACAGAGAAAACTTAACCAGCCTCTGTGCCTCTGTTTTTGCCACCTCCAAACCACTCAGCACAGGCCTGTTAAAGTCACGCTGTTGCTTAAAACCTTCACCTACAGAATCAAGTCATCAGCAGGCCTTTCATGGTCTGGTCCCTACCCTACCTCTCCAGCTTGGTTTCCTGCCCCACCTCTGCCATACTCTGTGTTCCTTCTGCCTTCCACTTACTACTTGAACATATCTTGCTCTTTGGTATCTCAGTGCCATTGTAATGACTACTCCTGCTGCCTGGGATGCCCTTGTTTTACTGGCAAACTCCTACAAGTTCTTCCAGACCCACTCTGCTTTGACATCTCCCTGAACGCCAGCCTCACACTTGGCAGTACCTGGAAACTGGTCCCCATCGGACTCCTCCCTCAGCTGCTCACTCCTCCGGCTCTCTCGGGCCTCCCTCCAGCGCAGCTTCTGGATGGATGGATTTCGGAGGCATTTCCGGATGCGGCACTTTTTCCGCTGCACAGTCTCCGGGCAGGGTGCACCTCCAAACTGAGGCTCCATTTGGATCATGCGGGTTCGAATCATGTGGCCTTTCCCACATGACTTGTTACATTCCGACCATTGGGACCACTCGGTGAGTTCACAGTCAATGGCTGGCAAGACACAGATGGGCGTGAGTATATCTCATGTCTGAAACAAGATACGGTCACTTATACTCTCCTTTGAACATCTCAACACAAGCCTATGGGAAATGCAAAGCAGGTGCTGTTACCCCATTTTACAGAAGAAGAAACTGAGGCTCCAAGAGGCAGACTGACTTTATCCAGCCCACACGGTTGGTAAGCAGTAGATGCAGGATCGGTGCCCAGATCAAAACCCACATGCTACGCCCTCTTTATGATTTGAGGAGGCTTTTGGGGGGACCTTGAAGATTCGTTCAAAGCCTCTTGCCTTGCTCTCGAAGCTTCTAGAATATTGTCAAATTAGCCTCAAGTGGCACAGACTAGCTTCCCACGGCCAAGGACCCTGATTTTCTGAGGGAAGGCACAGTTCACTGGTGCCATTTTCCAGAGCTGCCCAGAGCTGCCCCCGTGGACTAATACTAGGGACATCGTGACTTCTGCAGTAAGACCCAGGCAGTGTCTCTTGTTCTCCATATCATCCTGGGTCTTATATGTGGCAGTCTGCAAAAAACACAGGAGCCAGAAATAGGAAATTCAGTAGAGAAGAGGGGCAGTAGCAAGTGGTGTCATGGTTTATCATGGTAAGAGATCCAGCAGAGTCTTCTCATTAAGCCAGCATCTCACAAATGTGGACGAAAGCTAACCCATTAGAGTGATTCTCAGGATGCTTCCTAGGGAGGCAAATGATTTCCAAACTCTGCTTCCCTTGCAAAGTGAGGGCCCGGCTGGATGGATCTAGGAAAAACTCATTTTGTTCATGGTCTTAGGCCTTTTCTCCCTGTGGGAGCTCAGGCAGCTTTCCCATCTGCAGCATGGGGATAATGTTATTTTTCTCATTAGGTTGTAAGAATTAAGTAATGCTCTCAGCCCAGTTTCTGGCCCACAGTAAGTGTTCCATAAATGTTCTTTTTCTTCTCCCTTCAATTCACTGGACCCTGTGGATACAGAGTTTTGTTTAAGTCAGTTAACAGTGTCTCAGAACATTCTGGAGCCCCAGCTCTGGTGAGCTGTGTTGAACACGGGGTAGATCTTAGTAAAAGCCCAAGGCTTTGTTTAGTTTGACGGTCTGCATCATCTCCACACATGACTTTGGCTAAAACAGCTCAGGAACTGTAATATGTAACATTGGTGGAGGTCTGCACTTCCCAAGTCCAGTGCTCGGCACTTTGTACCACTTACGTGGTTTAATTCTCAGAGCAGCCTAGGAGGTTTTTCTCACTACTTTACAGATGAGGGACAGGGATGCTAAGTAGTGTGCTGAAGTTTACGCAGCCAGTAAGGGACAGAGCTAGGACCTGTCCCCAGGCACGCAGCCTGAGTAAGGGGAGGAAGCACAGAAGGCTGTCTGACTTTCCACCACCTGAAAGGGAAGCTCTCATGGAAGACTAGCCAGAAAAAATGGGCTCTCTCCTTGGAAATTAGTCCCCAGATAATAAACTCACCCTCATCTCTTCTCAAATCTCTGTGAGATTTGAGAAGAGATGAGGGTGGGCATGGAGCTTTTGAGCTTGTTGACTTGCTGGCCTGTCTTCTTATCAAGGCTGCAAAGGTACAGGAGTCACTGGTTTAAAGTCTACCCTTTGGTCATGGGTAAATAAACTGGTCACAGGGAGGAGGAATAGAATTAAAAAGCTTAGAAAACCCCATGGGCCAGACAAGCCTCTAACTTGGGGGGGGGGTGGAGAACTATGAAATACATTTTATCGAGCCTGTACTGTTTTCCATCTAAGCCTCCTGTTTAGACTTCACAGCCATTTACAATTTGGGTGTTTTGTAGATGGTTAGTGGGATCCCCTTTTACTACTGAGAAGATTGAGAGTTTAAATAACTGCTAACACAGAGATGCAGGGCCCAGCAAACAGTCATAACTGTACGAGCTAGCACAGGGCTGGTTAGCAGAAGGAGAGGCGGGGAGAGGTGGCTTCCAGGAGCTCCAGGACTTACGGCACTCGGGCAGCATGCACTTTTCCACTTGCTCCAGCGCCTCGTTACAGTCCCCGAGTTCTGCTAGAGACTTGAGCATCCGCTGGCGGGTCCGCATGCCCTTCCCACAGGTCACGCTGCAGTCGCTCCACTCGGACCACGGGGACAGCAAGCAGGGGATGGTGTCTAGACCAAGAGCCAGGTTTGCCACTGAGAACAGGCTCCCTTTGCTTTCTTTGATCTGGTGCCCTGTACCCTTTGTCCCCCACTCAAGCCCCTTGAGTAAAGTGAAATTGACCAATGGGTTCAGATAACCGAAGTGACCCCCCCCCCGGAACCAGGAGTGGCTCCACAGGCCACTAACTGCTGCTGTTGTCACTCTCCTGCATCTCCTCTGATCCAGCTGGTGCTCATGATGTGGCATCAGATGTGGCTCAGTAATAGGAATACACAAGTCCCACTTGAAACACCCGTGAGGGTCTGAGTAGGATCTTACTAGAGACAGAAACATCCCACATGCCCCAAGAACCATGCACTAAAAGATAGGCTCAATGATGTGTTTTTGGACACTTTGGTGCTGAAATCGCTAGAATGTGTAAGTACTTGGCTGTGTGTGTACATCTGTGTAGTGATGTGTGGGCCTGTGTGCATCTGTGCGTAGAGGAGGGGTTGTAATGCTTCATGAGGCCACAGGCAAGTCCCCACATAGAACAAGAATGAGGGGGTCTGTGATGACTTGAGGAATGCACAACCTGCCTACATGTATTCCCCCCCCCTCCAAAAGAAAGATGCTATGGGGCCCTATAAAACACAGCTACAGGTGAATTCTATCCAGAGGCCACCAGTTTGCCACCCCAGCATTGCTCAGAATGCCTCTCAAAGGAGGCCACTCTCTGGGTCTGGATGATGTCCTCACACCTATAGCTCTCCCTCCTAGAAGTGCCCTGCAAGGATGGGGGGGGGGTCCATATTTCCTCTTGCACCTGCCCAGCCTTGACAGTGGTAATAGTAAGGGCTGCTGTGGTCCTCTGTCCCCTCTCCCACGCCCACTCACGGCACTCGGGCATCATGCACTTCTCTGCCTGAGACGTCTCAGCCTTGCACATGGAGCCGTCCGCCGGGCTCATCTTGACCATGCGGTGCCGCTTCTTCATGCCCATCCCGCAGGTGGCGCTGCACTCGTCCCACTCGCCCCACTCGGTCATCAGGCAGCTGCTGGGAGCTGGGAAGCCCGGCGGTGTTTAGCGTCGCCTTGGCAGCCTCGGGAGCCCCGCGCCCGCCCCTCCCGCCCGGCACCCCACTCACAGCACTCCTCGTTGACCGTGCACTTCTCCGTCTCCTCAGTGGGCAGCGTGCACACGGAGCCGTCCTCCGGGAACTGCTTCACGTACCTCTCCCGGGACCGCATGCCAGTGCCGCAGGAGATGCTGCAGGGCGACCAGGTGATCCACTCGGACATGGTGCAGGTGGAGCCGTCTGCAACACAGGAGCAGATACTGCAGACCGGGCGCCACGACGCCGGGATCCGCACGACCAGCCAAACTCCCCAAAGGCGGGCGTCAAGAAGGCCAGCTGGCATTCAGGGGCAGTTAGGCAGTTGAGGATGGAAGTCGACATAAAAGGCACACATCTTTAAACTAGGAATTGTTCTTTAAAGGAAGTGCTTTTTTCCAGTGCACGGAGCACTCGTGATTACTCCTCGTCTCATGACGACGCATTTGAAAGATGGTTGGATGGATAGGAGTGTGTGTGTATGTGTGTGTGCCTGTTCTAAAGAAGAAGAGGGAAATGAAGTCGTCCATCCACCCATCCATTTACTCATGTCAGTAAATCCTTACTGACTGCTTAGTGGTATGTACTGAGGTTAAAGAGATGTGTAAGATACGGATTTTGATCTACTCCAGAACGAGAGATGGGCACATAAACTGCAAAACACACATAAGCCCAGTGGATTGGAATGGGGATGCTCCTTGGAGTTCTGGGTGAGATTTCACAGAAGAGGGCACATCTGAGTGCACTTTTGTTGGGTAGAGAATATCTGTATTTAAGGTGAAGGGAACAGCTCCTGCAATAACCTGTACCGAGTGTATTGTGTGTGGCACTGGGAGATGAGGCTAGAAAGGACTGAAGTCAGAGTGTGAAGCCTCCTGCACATGTCCGCAGGCTGTCACGTGCACATGGGTGATGCCTACACGTTGTTATTGAACCTATGGACAGTGTTGCTAGACAGTGCTTGCTGGCGGTGCAGTAATAAAGATGGCTGGAACCCACATTAGACACAGGGAAATTCTGACACGTCCTACAATGTGGATGAACCTGCGGACATTATGCTGAGTGAAATAAGCCAGTCACAAAAAGACAAATACTGTATGATTCCACTTATATGAGATACCTAGAATGGTCAGTTCTTAGAAAGTAGAACGGTGGTTGCCAGGGGTTGGGGGAATGGAGAGTTAGTGGTTAATGGGTCTACAGTTTGTTTTGCGAGATGAAAGGAGTTCTGGAGATAGAGGGTGGTGATGGTTGCGTGTGTGTGTGTGTGTGTGTGTGTGTGTACACAATACCACTGAACTGTACAATTAAAAATAGTTAAGTTGGTAAACTTGATGCTGTGTACCACCAAAACTACACCACCAGGCAGAGCCCAACATGTTTCAGAATTGTCATTACTTCCTGGGAGCCACCTGAACTCCACTCCTGTAGAGGGGGTGGTTAAAGATCTCATTTCCCACTGCAGGCCACAGACAGCCCACCCATCTGCCTCCCCTCAACCCCAAGAAAGAGAAAGCCTCCAGCGTTGCCAGTCCTGTCACAACTTCCTGCCTGCCTGTTCGTAGGAATGGCCTGTGCATGCAGGGTTCACTCCTTTCTGAAGTGCCTTATCATGGGCACAAACAGCAATAAACCACTGTGGAGTGCAGCCAGGAGAGGTATTTAAGACTGTGCCCCAGAAAGAGCCCGAGAGTCAATGACCTGCAGTGGTGGGTGAGCTTCCTTCAGTTATCCTCAGCTTGGAAATGATTTTCTTCCTGCCATAAACCAGCCCAGCCTATACATCCCTTCCTATTGCCTTGTTACACCTCTGAGACAGTTAAGATCAGAGCACAGAGTATAGATCTGTTCAGTCAGAGAGAGGAAGTGTACCCTGGAAAGTAGGCAGCTGGCCTTTGCACAGCAATCAGAGTAGTGCCATGTTGAAGCCTGAGCCATCATGACATGGGTGGTTCAAGCTTATAGTTCAAGCCTGACCTTTGACCAGTTACAGAATTGCTGCAGTCAGTCCAAAGGTCCTGACGCAAGGAACTGAGGGCTCTGACCCAGGCTGAGGTAGGACATGCACGGGGTCCATGAATGACACAGAATTAGGGCAATGATTTAGATTCAATCTTGGCCAAGCTCTTCACCTGCTTCTTAAAAAGAGGTTGAAGTTAAGGCCCAGAAGCAGGCAGCTTGCTATCTGTTGTTTGTCATAAGTAAGATGTGTGCTAGCTCTTCAGTAACTTGTGTCTATTTTCTTCCATGGCTGGGGGGTCAGTTAATCTCAATTCTTTTGATGTCATAAGACATGTCCGTGTTCACAGCCCTCAAGATACTGTTGGACATGGGAGTCTGCCCTTGGTGGTTCCCACTGACAAATACAGTCAGGGTCCTAGTGCCCCACTGGGGGGGGGGGGTGCTACCTGACCAGCTATGAGAGGCTGGCACGGCCAGGCAGGACCCTCCCTTCTCGAGCCTGGGTGTCTCGTCACCTCCATCGCTGCAGCCCGGGCCCGTGCAGGGCTGGAAGTCCTGGGTGTCGGGACAGGGGACACTGAGGTCCAGCTGCGCCTTCAGCATGCGCTGCCGCATCCTCTTGCCTTTGTCGCAGGTGGAAGAGCTGCAGGCGGACCACGGGGACCAGTTGGAGTAGATGCAGGTTTCGGGGGTGTCATCTGGGAAGAGTATGTGACATGGTTTTCCTGGGAGCCTGTGGAAGCTGTGACTGGCCCTCTCTCCCCAGACGAGCTCACGCGGGGACAAGAAAATCCCCGCTGTCTGCCCAGCCTCCGGGAGCCTGGGTACTCCGGGGATGCAAGCAGCCATTCACTTGCCTTTCAAAATTATAGTTTGGGCATTCCACTAATAAAAATCTAAGTAACTTAATAAGGAAAGATTCTCTTACTCTCTCTTCCCCTCAACACATGAACACAAGCCCCTCACCCTGGCAGACATCGTTTCCACACAGGTGCAGGCAAATCACAGGCAATTTGGGGGAAACACAGGTTTTTCCGTGTGGTGCTGCTCATCTTCCCAGTGACCCAGACACACTGTCATGATGAGAATAAGGGTGGCCATTGTTCACTGAGCACTTACCATGTGCCAGCATCATTCTAAGAACCGTATTTGTCTTATCCCGTTAGCTCCTTACCACAGCTCTCTACAAGGCGGATTCTTCTATTATCCCCATTTTACAGTTGAGGAAACTGGTAGAAAGGTGGGCCTCTTGCCCAGGGCCACAGGAGGAGAGCCCAGCTTGTCTGGCTCCAGATCCTATGAGAGAACTTGAGCTGAAGCCAGGGCTCTGCCACTGCCTCCTGACTGTAGGGTCTGGGCTCGCTTTCCTTGCTGGGGAAGTGGATGGACCCACTCCTGCCTCACAGGACAGTGTGAGAATCAAAGCAGAGAGTCATCCGTGAAGCCCGTGCAAATGCCATTTGCCTGATACTGTTGAATATATATTCCAGTGTCGTACCTTCACCAATTCCCTTAGACTTTGTGCCTAGCCTTGGCCTTGTTTTGAATTATATTTCAAGAAGAAATCCGCAAAGAAGGGATTACCAAATCAAAGGATATATTTGTGGCTTTTAAAACATGTTAGCAAATTGCTTTCCCAAAAGGTAGTTTTATGTTTCGTTCCCAGTTTATGTTGCCACCTGCAACAAAGGAAGATGACTTACCTTCATCTTTCTCTTCTGGAGCCAGGTCTGCTACAATATCGTCAACATTGTCAGGTACAATATTGCACTGTTCCCCCTGCAAAAGGAATTTTACTTGGAGGGCCTCACGTTAAAGAACGGAAAGTGTGGGGGAAAGATGAAAGAGGATATAAAATCGAAAGCCCACCCTGTATACAGATCCTAGGCCATGGCGGAGTTCTGGCTCGCTTTTACAACCTGACCGGTTAAAGAAATGGCAGTAAAGCCACAACTTCCCACTTCCTGACCCATGGCAGACATTAGCAGTTCATTATGGCATTCATGATGAAGCCTAGTTCCCTGGAGCACATCATTTGGTTGAGCGTCAAACTGTACCACCATGTTCATTTTGCTCATTTATACCTTATGAATAATTTGCATTCTAGAAACTCTGGTAGGCCCAGGAATTCCACATCCTGAATATGCCAGGGACCGCATGATTCAAGAGCTGAAAGGGGTCTGGTCTCCTGATGCGAAGGGTCTGTGCCAGGGTGAGCTCTAACCCAGTACCTTCCGAGCGATTCTCTCAATGACAACTCTGGCTACTTGAGTGATGGACCCGCCCTCTGGATCGTAAAAAGGACTCTGAGGATGGTCCAGGCTGGTCAGGGGTCGGATTTTCTCCTGGGGAATTGTGGGCTTGTTGGGTGACTGCAGTGGAGAAAACACAGATACAGAGAGTGGGAAATAAAACTGGTTAAAAACCACAAAGATTTGATATATGATCAGAACAAAAACCTTGAAAGGAATTTAACAAGTATAACTGCTATTTATATTTACAGAATTTTGTTCATGCCATGTGTTGTACATGAACATTTGTAGATCTATACTTTCAAATTCTCCCATGTACACAGTAGGATTATGCCCAGATGAAGATGCCGAGTTTTTAGAGAGCCATTTCCAGCTAGGAAATTGCTGAACCAGGTTGGTGTGAATCCAGAGTTCTTCCCACTAGACCAGGAGTTGGCAAACTTGTCTGAGGAGGGTCAGATGGTAAATATTTTAGGCTTTGTGGGCCAACTGTGTCTGTTGCAACGACTCAACTCAGTTGTAGTGAGAAAGCAGCCCCAGACAACATGCGATTGAATGCGTGAGGCTGGGTTAGAAAACTCCAGGTTGCCCCCAAACCACAGTTTACCAATGTCTGTTCTAGATTGCTCTACCACTGGTTTTCTGATGATTCCAGATTTCGATGCAGTTGCTGTGCCGACCATATCTGGAAAATATTGACATTCACAGAAGAATCCAAACTTCTTAGCCTGGCCGTCCGGAAACCTTCGGAATCTGGCCCAGCTTAACACACGTCAACTTCCTGCAGTTCCCCATTCTCTCTCTCTCTCTCTCTCTTTTTGCCTCCATGCCTTTTGCCTGCTGTTCCTTAATGCTTATCTCTGAACTGCTCTTCAGCACAGTCCCTTCCTGTGCTCTCCTGACCAGCTGCATGGACACTTCCCGGAGCCCGAGTCACACAGCATGTGAGTATGTGATGATGGGACCATGCTGGGCTCCCCTACCGGACTGTGAGTTCATCTGGTACAGAGCCTGGGCCACACTCACCTCCATAGCCAGGGCATCCAGAACAGGGCCAGACAAGGAGCAGACGCTCGGGGAGGTTTGTCACTCACCACTCCAGGCGCACACGTACCTCATAGGTCACCCCACTGTCGGTGCCAGCGTCCCAGGGAATCAGGTCCTGCACCACTTTCTGGACCCAGCCACACTCTTTGGTGCACAGATCCTCTGCGGACAGGCCCACGTTCCAGTCGGGACTGGGGCCCATCATGGTCAGGAAGGACATTAAGTGGCGTGTCCTGTCCACTGAAAATTCAGCCGAGGGTGCTGCTCTCCTGGAAACCAAATACAGAGACCTTTACCTTCGGGGCCCTGCGGGGTGCATGCTCTGAGGGACATTTGGCCAGACGATGGCTAAAGGATGAGAGGGAGAGAAAGAAGGGGGATTCTCCCACTCGTCTCTGCCTTTGGCTATTACTGGTTTCTCTCTCCAAGCCCATCCATTGGCCACACGTGGAGAGAAACCATATGCTACCACACTATCCTTTTTTTTTTTTTGTGGTACGCGGGCCTCCCACCGTTGTGGGCTCTCCCGTTGCTTGCGGAGCACGGGCGCCAGACGCGCAGGCTCAGCGGCCATGGCCCACGGGCCCAGCCGCTCCACGGCATGTGGGATCTTCCTGGACCGGGGCACGAACCCGTGTCCCCTGCATCGGCAGGCGGACTCTCAACCACCGCGCCACCAGGGAAGCCCACGCTATCCATTTTTAATGTGTCTTCAGCACTTACTATTATTTTGTGTTTTCTTATTTGTTTAGCTGTTTACTGACTCTCATTTCTCACTGGAGCGTAAGCTCTGGGAAAGCAGGGATTCTGTTTGCCTTCTTCACTGCTTTATTTCCAGTGCCTGGCACATCGTAGATGCTAAGCCAATGTTTTTGAATAAACGAATGAACAAATACTACGGGCTACGTCTGCGCCCAGCCGTATTGGAAGTGAGGTGAATTTGACAAAAACTGCTTAATGATGCCCCAAGCCTTTCCTTATACATTTTCATAGATGCCTCAGAGCAGACCTGGGGTAAGGATTATCGACTCCAATTTATGGATGAGGACACTGAGGCTCAGAAGTGTTATGTGATGTAACTTGTCTAGAGTCACAAAGTGAACTGCCAGAACGGAGACCACAACCGAAGTCAATCTTAAATTCAAGGTCCAAGTTCTTTTCGTCATCAGTTTCTAAGTCCCCACCACCCCCAGCCCCACTTCACTCTCTAGAGCAACATTGTGCCATCAGAGGGATTATCTCCCCAGCCTGCTGCCTCCAGTGCCCCCAGAGGCTGCTCAGAGCAAGGCCCTGCCCTGGCAGCAGAGCTCACCCATCGCCTCACAGCTGGTTCCTTGGCCGTTTCCTCCAGTAGGCGAGCAGGGACCCAGCTGTAGAGCCAGACACCTTTGGCTGACAGCCCCCAAGCTGTGAGAGGCAGTTCTTCAACCTCTGTGTCCTCGTGTTGCTAAGACAAGGTCCTAGGAGTGGCCAGAGCTGTATGAGATCAACGGTGGCAGCCCACTGAGAGGCGTGGTGGGAGAGCTATAGTCAGCCACACTTGGTGGCACACCTGCATTATTTTATTTTCTCTTCATGATACTCCTGTGGGGGTTAGAATTACCATCTCATTTTGTAAAGAAGAAAGGAAAGCGTATAGAAGTTAATAAACTTTGAGACGCAGCTGGTGAGGCTGAGGCATGAAGACAGCTCTGCCTGACTCTCCGCCCAGGCTGCCGATCATGGGGAATCCTTAGCTGGAGACCAACTCGTCTGTTCAGTCCGGTTGGCAGTTGTTTGGGAGTCTCTGTGCCTGTCTGTTGGGACCAGCTGCTCCTGGCTGCCCTCATCTGTCCCCAGAAAGCGATGACTCCAGGCTTGCTTGGGCCCTGTGGAACTGGGCCCCTTGGGCAGGCCGGATGGGATCCGGCAACAAGCAGAGAAGGTGGGAAGCCTGGGTGTGCATCATCCCATACCACCTCTTAGAGCTGCGTTATCCTTGGACAAATGACTAAACCTTTCTGTGCCTCAGTATCCAAATCTACAGAATGGGGATCCCCGTAACTGCTACCCCAAAGGGTTATTGTTAGCATTTAATGACAGAACTCGCATCCAGTACTTAGCTCAGTGTCTGGCACCTGACCAATTATTACTACAGTAAGTCCCCTACATATGAACCTTTAAGTTGCAAACTTTCGAAGATGCGAATGTGCATTCCATCAGCGTCAGGCGTGAGTGAAACTGCAGCTCGCCCTCCATCTCCTATTGCTGACGATCCTTCAGCTCTGCCATCTCCCCACCTCCTCTCCCTCCTCCAGGCAGTAACTCTCCTTGCCTGTTCACTCGATGCCAGCCCCTGTATGCCAGCTGTTGTACTGGACTGCTGTACTTTTCAAGTACAGATTAATGTAAGATTAAAAATGTTTTCTTCATTTTTTTGTTTGTTTTTTATGTATCATTTGTCTGAAAACTATTATAAACCTATTACAGTACAGTACTATATAGCCGATTGTGTTAGTTGGGTACCTAGGCTAACTTTGTTGAGCTTATGAACAAGTTGGACTTTAGAACGCAGGAACGGAACTCATTCGTATGTAGGGGACTTCCTGTATTACTGTTACTGAGTGAAGCAGCACTGAAGGGTCATCTGGAGATCAGAAAAGAGAGGCAAGGGGAGGGAGGCCTTCCGGAATGCACTTCTCACTTCAGCCTGACGCCAGTGTAGGTTCTGGAACCTGAGTGGAGGAAGAGCCTGGCCTGAACCTGGCTTTGGCATCAGGACCCACGTGCACTTGCATCTGCCGGGAAGGCTCTCCTTCAGTGGCCTTCGAAGTGTGGTCCTTGGACCAGAAACATCGGCGTCCTCTGGGAACTTGCTAGAAATGCGAATTATTGGGCCTCACCCCAGATTTACTTACAGACTGAGGGTAGGACCCAGCATTTTGTTTTAATAATCCCTCCAGGTGATTCTAATGTGCCTCAACTTTGAGAATCACTGGTCTGCTCATCTTCCAAGCCTCAGGTCACGAGTCACCTCATCCAGGAGCCTGTCTGACCCCCCGCACTGAGACCAGTGCCTTTGGTCTGTATTTCCACACACTCTGTGTAGGTCTCTGAGCTGTACCCTTTGATTGTCATCTCTTCCTCACTGTTTGGTCTCCCCCACTAGACTAGGAGCCCTTTGAGGGCACAAACCTGTTTCACAGCCATATCCCAATACCAGGTTTCCAGTGGGCCAGCTGAACAAGTAGATGTAGGATGACTTGAGCTCCACTACTTACTCGATCTTGGGCAAGTAACTCTCACTCATCCTCTTCCAGTCTCAATTTCTTCATCTGACATTACCCACCTGCCGTGTTGCTGTGAGGCTCAGATGATATGTTAGGAGGCCTTTATAAACTGCTAAAGCCCCACACTTACATAGTCTGCTATTTAGTTAGGTACAAATTGGGGGATTTCATTTCCTTTTCCCATGCATGCATTTACTGGCATGTAGGTCATTGCTTTTAGCAGCTTCTTTAAAGACCTGGCTTCTACAACAATTGCAGTCTGGGGAGCTGCGGCATTGCTCACCTAGGGATTAACAGGACACCGTCTGGGGTCTGCCTTCCAGTAACTGCCTGGCAGAGAGCATGGGCATGTGGGCAGAGCGGGGCTGCTTGGCTATGGACCCCTCGGGAGTCCAGCAGTGCCTTGGAGGAAGGCTTCTCTTCTGTTGCCATAGAGACCAACCACTACACCTGTTACCTGCCCATCTCCCTGAGCATATGGTTGTGGGTCAGGTAGTCTTTCGTATCCTGTACCCCATGGATGAAGCTATTCATCATGACAACCTAAGAGGACAAAACCAGCTCTACTTGGGAATCCACAGCTGGAGAAACGAAACCAACCCCCATCCAACACACCACCCTGCTACTCTGCCCAGCTGAAGGATGTAACTATCTTGAGAACCTCCTGTGTTTTACAAGGCTTATACAAATCATTCTCTGCTAATGCATTTTGGCCAAATCTGTAACCTGAGTGAGGTATCCCCCAGACCTCGGTAAGTGTTTCAAGGGGTAGAAGATTTGGGGCAACTGATCCCCGCACAAAACGCCTGACCTTAGGTTGGGTGATATGGTCAATTTGGCTGTAAAAGCCTGGGAACGATTTCATAACATGTTCAGTTACGTCCTGCTCTTTTCTTGTACCCTTGACTGGAAAATTCATCCTCAGGCCCCCCAGCTTGAGGGGAGGAAATGTTTCCTGCCCTCACCTCAAATTGTTTAGGACCCCTGGTGTACCTTCCCAGAGCATGTTGAACTCACTCTTTCCTTGGAGTTCCTTGTTTAATTTCCATCTTCCCTGTTAGTTTCCAAAAGAATAGGGACCATTTTTGTCCTGTTTACAGCTATATCCCGGTGCCTGGCTTAGAATTTGGCATGCGGTAGATTCTCCTCAAATATTTGTTGAAATAAATGAGTTAATCTAGGAAATGAATATGGAGCTCTTAACACTTCCTTTGGCCTTCAGACCTAATTTTAAAATTACCTCAAAGTATTTATTACTTCTATAATAAAAATGCTATTTAAAATAATGAAATGGATAAGAATATATGTGTTTTCTTTAGGAAACGCTAGATATGACTGGAATTCTTTAATTTGACCAAACCATAATAAAAATTCTTACTCATGCCTTTCTTACATGCCATGTCTTCCCATATAAAGTATTTTATTAATTTGATCTTATTTTTCTATCTGGGATTTAAATTTTTATCACTTTTCTGGCAAAGAGAATTGATCTGACCATACCATATAACAATATACTATAACGTATGATAATGAAAATGGTGTAATATCCAGGATAAGATAGAAATATAGATCAGTGGCACAGGCTGAAGATTCCAGAAACTTTAGGTAAGGACTCATATAAAATTGAGGGGGCGGGGAAAGATCATGCAACAAGTGGGGTTGGGCTAACTTAATTGCAGTTTAAAAAAATATGGTATTCACATGTAATATCACACACACACACACACACACACACACACACCCCCAAACAGCAAAAACTCAGAGTTAAGTAAAAACCAGATCATAGGGAAAAAAAGTCAAGTTTTTTGATCTGTTAGAGAAACGTTAATTTTCTCAGCTTTGAAACAATAAAAGCAATCACAAAAGTAATTGAATTATATACCAACTAAAAACATCTGCATAATGGAAACAATAGTGTTGAATTAGAAAGGAAAAATGACATGTTAGCAAAAATGTCTCCCTCTAGTTTGACTGACAAATGTTAATATCTATAGTATGTACAGAGCTAGTCCAAATCTGTAAAAAAAAAAAAAAAAAACCAACAAAAAACACCACAATCCCAATAGGTAAAGGAAAGTTATGAACAGACAATTCACACCAGAAAAATGAAAACCAAATGAAGACACAGAGATATCTTGTGCCTTTTTCCATTCAGAGAGGCAGCGTGATGTGGGAGAGAACAAAGGGGACTGGAAGAGACAGCTGGATTTGAGCCCTGGTTCAGTCACTTATTAGCTATGTGACAGCCGCTTTGACCTCGTCTCCCTTTACAATTACTAATCTGCAAAATGGGAGCATCCTCAGACCCACCCCAGGGCTTTTAGTGAGGAAATGGCTTATCATCGTGACTGGCACCATAAAAGCACTTGGTAAATGTTGATTTCCTTCTCACTCCGCTTTTCTAAACAAAGCTTTCAAAAACACGACGAAAGAAAAGAGGCAATAAAGGATTTTTATGGTCCTTCTAGAGACTTACTATACCATTCTAAGTTACAGATCCATATCTGTGAGACTCAGGTCACTCATATGCTGAGTTCTGTCCTCTTGTTCGTTTCAAATAATCCTCAATAAAGAGCTTTCAAAGTTGCAGAAACTCAATCTCGACACTAGGCGGTGCTAGAGCCATTCACTAGGCTGAAGTCTGTGTGCCTGGAGGAAGGTTTCAGAGAGGTCTCTGCCTTGGACAACTCTGTTTATAACTTGGAGGCATCTAGGGCTCCGAGTCCATCTGGCCTGTTAGACCTCTACGTTCTCTAGTCCAAGGACAGTCTTCCTTTACAATCCTGGGGACATCAACGGACCTGGGCAGGTTCTACAGGACACCGGGAGCACCCTGAAACTTCCAGCCCTGATTTGACAGAAAGATGCTTCTGGCCCCCTGGGAACCATGGCTGGGATGATTAAGGGGGCACAGACCCTCCAGAGGCATGATTTCTGGAAAGGGTGACCATGTTTCTATTTCACCTGCCTCTCATCTGTCTCACAAACAGATCTGTCTAAACAAAGGTTAATTAATCAGAATGGCTGGGAATAATTAAGGAGACTACAGTCCTTTAGAGGATTCATCATAAGGAAAGGAATAAAATTTATTTTTAGAAGTTCCAGTAATTCCTAACAGTCAGACTTAACTGGAGGAACTGGGTGGTGGAAATTCAGCATTGATTTGCAGGAAACCGGGGCATTTTCTACTCAGGGGCCGGAAGAACTTGTGGAGGATGTGGCTTTTGCTCAGAATTTGTCTTTCCTGTCTCTACCTGTACTCTGGGCTTTTGGAGCCACAGCTTGATTTATTGAGCTAAACAAGTCAGCAGCTAATTTGTTCATTCATGGCTGTCCTTTGAGAAGTGGTCCTGGGGATAAAGATGAAGATCATTGAAAAACAAGTCAGTTTCTCTGGGCAGGACCTCACAAAGTAGGTCACCCTGGCTTTCCACTGGCCTGAAGGAGGCTGGAATCCCATTAACCTCAATAGAGCAGGCTCACGAGGAGGGGCAGGGCTGTTTCTGCAAGACAAAACTTGGCTGCTTGTAGGCTTCCTAATTTGACTTCCTAATGAGATTTGGAAGAGGAAAGGGGAGACTGGGGTATGGGAAAACCAAAGGAAAATTCCTTTCCCTTAACAAGCTGGTAGCACTGAGTGGAGAGGCTTTGGGAATTTGGGAAATCTGAGTGTTTGCCATGGATGAATTCTGTTCCACTGGGGTCTCAAGATATCTGAGGGATGGGTGAAGGGTGGGAAGGTGTCCCCAAATATTTTTTTCAAATTTTAGGGGAAAAAAAAAAGCTCCATTGGTTCTTTCATCCTCTTGGAGCTACTGCCCAGTCTCTCTTCTTTCACATCAAACTTCACAGAAGAGTTGTCTCTACTCACTGACTCCATAACCTCACTTTCTGTTCACATTTCACCCTGCTGCAGGCTGTTTACCCTCCCCCCATAACTCAGCAGAAAGGATTCCCAATAAGGTCACTGATGATCTTGATGCTGATAAATCCAACTGGCATTGTGCAACTCTGGTCTTCCTTGACCTCTCAGCTGCCCTGGACACAGCTATCCTTCTTGAATGCTTTCTTCCCTTGGCTTCCCTGTTACCAAGCTTCCTTCCCCAATCTCCTTGCTACTCCATTTTGCTTCCTTTGCAGGCAACTCCTCCTCAGCATTAAATGTTGGAGCTCCTCGGGACTCAGTCCCAAGCCCTTAACTCTCATTCTCAAGCTGTCTCTCAACCATGTCCTTGGTGTTGATTGTCTCCCGTTCTTTGGTGACCCTCAATTTTATATCTCAGTTTAGAATTCTCCCCCTGATTTTCAAAGCTTTATAGTTAACCGTGTTCTTAACACCTCCAGTGTCTGAGTGGGGTCCTCTGCAATGTTAAAGCCATGGGGGACACAGAGACCAAGCCTGCATTCCCCAAGGAGGTAGGGGCACTTGGTACTGCACGCATGAGCAGTGCACCTCACCTGCTCAGCCACCTGAGAGGCAGTGCTGACTTTTACGACATAATTGGCACGCGGCGGCCAGGAGGCGGGTGGCTCCACGTACAAGGCCAGGCTGGGGGCTGGACAGGGCCCTGTTGCTACTTACACGTTGAGAGGCTGCCAGGCTGGCCACTGAGCTTTGGCTTTGATGACAGTGAGGACCTCATCGCTCTGTAAAAAAGGACCACAGGTATTTAGTGAGGAGAGCTGGGCTCAGGGAACAGGAGGGTTCTGACATAGTGACGCTGTCCACCCTCATGCCCTTACTTGCTGCTGAGACTCTACCTGCCCCCGGGTGAAGAGCCCTGGAGTCTCGGCAATCCCAGGAGGTAGGGCGGCGTCCAGGGTGCCTGGTGTGTGCTGGACACCAAGGGGCCCACTGAGCCACACTTAAGGGTTCCAGCGCAGACCCTTCTCCACAGGAGCCAGCCTCTAACTTGCCCTCCCCCTGGGATGGCCAGACCTCCACCTCATGTCCAGCCTGGAGGGCAGGTCATGCTCTCTGTGTCCAGGCTTCCACTGGGGCCTGCTCCAGCCACACTGCAGCCACCATCTGACCCCAAGGGTTGTCACCCCCGAGGCCTCTCCTGCTGTCGAGACTCACATACTGGATCAGACTCCCTTGGAACAAGGAGGGCAAGATGAAGCCTGGGGCCCACACTCCTGGGCCACTCACGTAATCCTGCTCTAGTTTGCTTTGGACAGTGTGTAGGTCACCCTTAAAGCTTGGGGACCTAAAAGAATTGTTTGAGGAAGAATTTGATGATTAACATTTAGAAGGAAAGCCTTTAGTCACCATCGTGGGGAAAAATCATAATTTTGTTAATCTTGCTTAACTTTACTTCGAGATTTGTTTGGGTTTTTATTTTCAATTACACATTGGGGCTGAGGGCTACCATAGGCTTTTCAAGGCTTAAGCTTCCACAGGTCCAAATTCAGTTTTGGCTGGGGTTTCCCCAGAGTGGATTCAGCTGGTCCTGGAGCTCCCCTTCCCCGGGCCGGGGCCCAGCAGTGCTCAGACACCCCTGTCAACGCTGCACAGAAAAGCCCAGGATGTCACCAGCAGGGGCAGCAAGAGCTTTGTTGCCGAATGAACAGGTTTCTGAGTTCCCGAAGGGCAGAGACTGGCTTGGATGGCCCACAGCTCTGCCCCAGCCCTTAGAGTTGTTCCTGGCAGTAGGTACCTAACATATATTTGGGATGAATCGATGAACTTCTTCTTAGTTGGTGGGTACCTTGCCCAGAAAATCCCATGCAAGGAGGAGGTCAGAGGTGCCTCCAGGCTCAGGCCACAAGATTAGAAAAAGCCTCTGGTCTGGAGCACCTCGTCTGCAGCCAGGGAATGGGTTGCTGGAGCAGGGTGGGGAGCTTAGAGGGGACAGGAGCTTAGCCAGATCCTGCTCGTCTTGGGCACCTACTGACGGTCCTGGTGGGGCGAGGGTAGAAGTGAGGGCCACAGAGCACCCTGTCCCCCCAGAAGCTCGCAGCCTGCTCTGAGCTCAGGCTTCCTTGGAGGTTCCCCCTTTTGGTCAGAGGAAAGAATCTGTGGATGCACAGACACCCCCACCACTCACATGTCTGCAGGGAGAGCGTTTCCAAGTCCCAACAGAGCGCTTTACATTTCTCATGGGAGATTTTTTTATTTGTTGAGACTGTATCCCTGACTCACTCCTAATATGCATCTGCTGAGTGACTGAGAGAAGCTGCCTGACATGAAGTCACATGTAAGACTTGAGCTGGTCTCCTGTGACCTGGGTTTCCTGTACTTAGCTCATACGTTCCGTGTCCCACAACGAGTTCTTCATCTGCCCCTAGAGCACTGCTCTTCCTCAGTGGACCCCGTCGGGCACATCCACCAGCTGCCTGCATTCCTCCATCTCTTACCCCTCACAGCCGTTGGGCCCCGAGATCCACTGCATTCACAGCCTTACTATCTCAAGTCCTTCCACAGTCTCCTCACCAGTTGCCCCAAGCTCTAGTATCTTCTTGCTTCCCCCCAGTCCACTCTTGACATTGCTGCAAACCTGACCATATCTATTGCCTGCCTAAACCCTGCAACAGTTCCCCACAACTTCCAGGGTGATTTCTTAATCCCTGAGTTTTGCCTACGTGGCCCGCATCAGCTAGCTTTTTTCTTTGATTTTTAATTTCAGAATAATACATGCTTTTTTGTGGAAAAATTTAGCATCACAGAAGCACACAATGTAAATGTTGAGCATTCTACTTTAGCATGCACCCTGGCTTCTCCCACCTCCTTCTCCAGAGTGTTACAGTTCAGTACATATCATTCCAGACCTTTTACTATACTTAGGTATTATGTGTGTGTGTGCACATACATTATATACAGCTTTTCCCACAAAAATTGCATCATACTGAATATCGTATTCCGCAACACGATTTTTACATTTCCCCCTTTTACTATCGTATCACGGGAAACTTTCCATGTCAGTACCTATGGCAATATAACTCCCCTTTTCTTGATTTTTAAAGTGTTAGAGATCTTCAAATTAGGGTAAGCCAGGTCAAGACTTAGAAAAAAAGAAATCCAAGTATGAGATCCAAGTAATGAGGTGCTGTCTGAAGACAGTCCTTTTGCCCTTGAAGAAATACTTTACTAAAAAATAAAATCAATGTGGGTGGAGTTAAGGGGACCATCAAGTTAGCTGGCCCTGCAGATGCACCTTGTATTACAATTAAATCTTGGTTTTCAAGTCCCAACTAATGACATTGATTTTGCTTTTGCAGCATATAACTCAACAGAAATTGTTGGGGTCCCCCACTAGTGTTTGTGGTGCTGGCATTCCATCTGTATTTTTTAGAGCCATGGAGGCTCCAAGGATGGTGGTTCCACGTCTGCAGGCACTAGAACAACTTCTTCCTGTAAACTGTTTCATCTCATGGTTACGCACCATCTGCATGATCAACAGTTCCTTGTTGTGATCTGTTGTGTTAGCCAATGAAATAAGAACACAGGAACATTCTGGAAAATATATTTAAAAAACTAAATATTTTTCTTGAAGCATCAAAATTCTCTAGTAGAACCAAAGCTCTATAGGATTGGAGAGGGTCTGGCTTGTTCATGGCCATATCAAGTGCTGTGGATACTCAGTAAATTGGTGAAAAAGCAAAGCCACACCATTTTTTTGACGTATGTGTAGAATTCCATAGCATGCATGTTCTCTTATTTAACTGGCATTATTGGTGGATATTTAATTGTTTATATAAATGATGCTATAATGAACACTTGTGTACATAGTTCTTTGTTTACAAGTTCCCGTGTCATAGACTTCCAGGAATGATCAAACGATGAAGCAAATTGACAGTTTTGGTAGTGCCTACCAAATTGTCCTCCAAATGTCTGTACCAAGTGATACTTCAGCAAGAATGTGTATGTGCCTATGTCTTTACAACTTTGGGCACAGTGGATACTATCAATCTTTTTCATCTTTACTAATCCAGCAGGCAGGAAAGTAGCATGGTTGAGAGCATAAGCCCTAGAGTCATACCTCATTTCAAATCCTGACTGCACCATGACTAGCTCTGTGTCCTTTGGCAAGCCTCTGACTTCCCTTAGCTTTCTCATCTCTGAAATAGGGTTAAAAAGTATATCTACCACATGGTGTTATTAGGGGGACAAAATGACATAATTCAAGTAACGTGCTAATAACCGTGCCTGTCTTACCATCAGTACTAGCTACTACTCTTATTCTTATTCACATTCAGGCCAAGATGGGATTTGTACTGCCTGAGTACAGAGAATGGAGCACACAGTAGCATCAACAAAGCCACAAGGCCTCAGGAGAACGTCCCCTTATTTAAAGGTTAGTGTAGCTGGGTGAGCTTTGGATGGGGGCACTGGGGCTCCAGCTACTTTACATTCTGAAGACTGAAGAATTTAAATTCAGAGTAAGCAACCCCAACTTCAGACTTAAATGAAAAACTGTTTTAACAAGTCTCTAAAGCCCAGAAAGGATCTTTCAAGATCCTTAAAGCCCTTATCCATCTCCCATAGCACTGTTTTCAAAGTATTTCAGGGCACTCAGTTCACGCCTCGTTTGCATGACGTTAGCACTTTCCCAGAGATATGCCAATTAAAATTAAAAACCTCCGAGAAACTACAGGGTACTCATGTCCATCTTCCCGGGGATGAGTTCTTCCATTTTGCTTTTGGTAAACATATTGTGAAGATGTTAGAACTGTACTCAGACTTCCTTAGGTACCAAATGAAAATTGCACGGCCTACTAAATCAGGCCATGGGCTGAGGTCAGATCCAGAGGAAGGAGGGATTCCTGTGGAGTGGAAACAAGTCTGGGACAGGTCAGGGGCAGAAATCACATGGATATCAGGAGATGTCACGTCTGAGCAGAGCAGAGGGACAAAATGTGAGTCTGGGGGGCCGGGTGAGAGGGCTGGTGTCTGAACATCCTTACCCCACACTGACCCTCCCATGCCCCCCAGAGCCAGCTCCCAAGGCAGGAGAGCTCCGGCATCTCAGCCGTGCTCACGGCAACAGGCGAGTCTGTCCCCTCCTCCCTGCCTTGCTTCTCGCCTCTTCTCTGTTCCTGCACCTTCCTGGCTCCTGAGCTTTCGCCTTTGTCTCGCAGTCCTGAACCAGAACCTGTTTCTTCATCCGAAGGCCCCATTTGCTCCGCGTGGCACTGAAGCTGAGCTTCCTCACCATAGCACGTCCTGCCCCAGACCAGCAGTCTGGGAGTCAGCCCAGCCAACTTGCCTCCTGCTCCCCAAGGAGAGAAATGAGATGCAATCCATGAGGGGAAGGAATCAAAGCAAGTAGAAACAACAACAGCAACAATCCACTGTTTTCATGTGCTAGGCACCTTGCTAATTACCTTATATATAGTATCTGATTAAATCCTTACGAGGCATCTGAAAGGTCGGTATATACTTTTTAATCCTCAGCAATACATTTCTTTGGCGAAATTAGTTACACCGTTAGTCAACGGCATGTCTAGAGTTTAAACCTCAGTCTGGAGACCACGTTCGTCAGCCTGTGAACCCAGGTGGAAGGGGCTGGGAGGGTAAGCCGTGGGGCAGGAGGGAGGGGTCTCCTGAAAGGTTGGGCCCCACCCCTCCCCCACCCGTGCTTCCGCTGTCCTTCAGGGCGTGTCCTAGCCTACCCTGAGTTCTGAATATTACAGCCATGCCGGGG